TTCAGATGTTGTGACGACTGGAGAGGTTAACTATTGACCGAGAAGGAAACTATATTGCAATAACGCATATCGCTTGAATGATCCAATGTACGTACATTGCAAATACATAGTACGTACAGCCCTGGATTTACGGACGTCCATTTCACGTACACGTACGGTTTATCTCCTCACATTTCACGTACATGGTACGTTATTTTTGCACCACTTTGTACATACTAGGTACGTACTGTGCTGTACGTACTATGTACGAGAGCACGAGGAATTACAGTATACGTAACAGTAAATCTAATGTACGTCCGGCAACGTACGTACCTAGCATGTACAAAGTAGTGTTAAGATAACGAAACATGTACGCAAAATGTACGTATACATGAACCGTAAGTGTACGTGAAATGTACGTTCGTAAATCCATCACTGTACGTACTAGGTATGTGCAATGTACGTACTTGTGTTATTTGAGAAGGCGTCGGTAATAATAGAAACCAAACACCGTAATATACTCTATTCAAGTAGAGGTAGAGACTGCTGATAATTTTCCCTGCAACAATTAAACAAGTGACATTGTCTTCTATTAATCAAGGCTCTACAAGAGTCACCAAAAGTTTTGTACAAAAAGTAATTATTAGGTTGTATATCAAACTGTAAGTACGGAAATACAACAATAATTAACACACTGCCGTTAAGACCCCTTGCCACACTAATTAGTCTTTGTCCGACGTCGATGTTGAACATTACTAAAACGAGAAACTTAAGTTAAATATTCGCATTTAATTAGGTGGCTCTAGAGAGGTAACCGCCGAGAATGGTTTACGGCACCACCTCATTTGTTGAAAATGAAATTACCGTTACTAGATGTTCTAAAATCGTGCGCTTCTAAAGCAATAGGTTTCAATTTGAGGGTAAATACAAAAAAAAGCTCCACTCTCCGGTTAAGCTTATAAGATTTTTATTTCGGGATTTTATAAAAAATTGGATATACCTTTTCCTTTCAAATTTCAGACCCTATAAAATCCCTAAAATCATTTTACAGTAAATCCTGTGATTGAAAATGTATCAAGAATGTTTTCGTTTTTTTTCTCTGTTCAAAAGGGCAGGTTTGTGGAGCAACTCAACTCGAAGTCTACCAATTATTATTATTATTATTATTATTATTATTATTTATTAAAAACGGTACATTATTTTACACAATTTACAATTTTAATGCAATAATACAATTATGTTGTTATAAGCTGTCGTTTGAAGAACGACGTGGCACTTGTAAATAGATTAACCTCTGTATTATACTCGATCGCGCATATGTCGAACTGTTTTAATCGGATTTCAGCATTTGTAACGAGGAGAGACGTTGATTTTGTTACAGTTCCTTCAAGTATGAGAAGCTCGTAAACCTAATTCACGCCTTTTTTACTTTTGTGCAGTGCATGATATAATAACGCTAATATTTGATTGGTAGAGCGTGGAGTAGCCTAATATACTTTGTAATCAGAAGTACCAGCGACAAAAGCTCTTGCGCCTCTTGAATGAATTGAAAATGCCCTATGCAAGATTACAAAATTTCCGCTAAATTGATGGCGTGCCGGGATCAGGACTAGTTTAAAACGTAATGTTAATAAAAGTTAGACAAATAAGAAACACGTGAGTAGTGCGGAATGTTTGAGCCATTAATTTGACTAGAATTGGTTTGTTTCATTTGAATTTGTATTTGTGTAGTGATATTTTTCCTTTTAAGATCGTTTGTGAATGAATATGGTTTATTCGAATTTGTTTAAGTAACTGTAAAACGTGAAATTGCGTGTTAAAATGTAGGCACATCTGTTCGTTTGCGATATGAGTGTTTGCTGTTGGACGAGATTTAATTAGCGCACGTGTTTTTTTTTATCGCTGTTAGAAGAAATAAGGAGAGATGCAGGTGTTCAACGATGTGCGCATTAATTCGGCGTAAGTAGGGACGCATTTGTCGAAGCGGCATTATCAAAGGTAATTATTATTGGCGTTTCACGACGGTTGGAAAGCGTACGTTTCATTGCGCTATTTTTTATTCGGCCGTTCTACCCTATTTCATTGTTTGATTTTCAGAACGTCTGTGGCGGTTCTCTTATCTAATGTTTGTACCGTCTGAATAGCCACCGGAAATTCCCCATTTCATTCATAGGGTCATGTTTGCCATTAAGATTTGTATCATAAAGAAAAGTGAAGTTTGGAAGCTGTCAGCGTTAATGTGTGGGGTTAAGTGCGCCTCAATGAGGGGAGGTAGAGTTGGCGCTGCGTTACCAGCTGCATAAACACCCAACTAGCCCAGAGTTAAACTCAACATAAGAGCTTGAGAATTTTCCACAGCGGTAGTTCGTTCTGTGTAAGATGATCATAAGGCAACGCTTACCTTAATGTAAATTAAATGTCATCCAGAGAAGTGGACTCAGTTCCCGGATCCATAAACATGCATACAAAAGAAAACTCCCAAGCCGCAGAGCTCGGAATGCAATAAACTGAACAATGCCTGAAAATCCTGGCCTTACTCGTAGTAAGCTTCTATCACAAGTACGATACTAACTCGGCCAATCTTTCCAGAAAGAGGTCACATAGACAAATAGGTCAGTACTGAAGTTGGCAAACCAATTGAAAGCAAAATAATGATCAATTATTACGCTAAACATTTACCTACGGAAGTTGTTTCATGGTTAACGATCGAATCCTTGATATCAAATCTGGTGTATGACCCAATTATTCAACTTCAGCAAATGGCGGCTCGTTATCAGAAGATGGAAAGTCTGTCAAAAGGTGTTGACCCACGCAGGCAAGCTGAATTTAACCCAAGGTTCCCACTCGTACGTGGACAGAGTTGTGGGCAAAGCGTCTCCCAACTTAAACTGGTCTTTACAGTTTAATAAAATTCCATTTGTACTGGTAACAATAAATTAAAATATGATTTGAACCGAAAATTAAAGCTGGACTTTAACCCTCTTTAAAACTCCGAAAGAAAAATCAAAGGTGACCCCTTCGTTGATAACCAAAACTGTACATACCTCTTTAAATAAGAGGGCTAATTATAGATGAATCAAACAATAGTCCATAGAAATAGTTTTACAAATATCAGCCGAACCTAAGATACACTGCAAGTAGATGCAATGCAAATGGAGGGTACTTATGATAAGCCAGAAAAAAACGCAATTATAGTATCCTCACTATATCGGAGTTAAGGTAAATCCGTCCAAACAATATTATTTATTTTAATTTTATTTTGGGTTTATTTTTGAGTGGGCGGAGTTTCAGCCAAGGCTGCTCTACCAACCTAACCCACTGTACATTTACAAATATCCATGCCCGAATCCGGATTTGAACCAGGTGCCCTTAGCACCACAGTTCAGCTTTAACTGGACTGTGCCGCCCGGGCCGGAATCCGTAAATTATGAATTCAATCGCCAAAGTTTTACAACATAATGGGTGGCGGCAATTAAAATCCTATGCGTTTTCCAACTAACGCCTCAGCTGTTTGTCTACGAACTGCACTGTGTTAGAGCTCGCAAACGAAAAAGAAAAGTGAATGTGAGCAATCGATAACCAACGCGCGCTAAAATTACGCGGTTAAAATTCCAAGGATCTCTCAATAAGTAAATATTGGCTGCCTTGTAATGATGAAAATAAACCGTTACACATTGTTTATCGCAAACCGTTGAACGACCAAATTATTAGGACTATTAAAAATTCCTTTCAGATATATTTTTAACGTTCTAGTGTTACGGAATAAAATTTTGTCATTGTCAATCAATTAATTGTGTGTTTATTCGAACCCATTTTGCGACCCTTAAGAGATTTCATGTCAGATTTTTATTCTCGTGTCCAAGAATGAAAATTTGTGTAGTTAATCCTTAACAGATATTATGTGGGTGGTGTAGTTGATCGCATACCATTGCGCCCAGCAATATATTATATTTGCAGTCTGGAAGTAGGTAATCTTCTATTGCCTACACTTTTAATTAGCTATCTGTTTCTTGCCATAAACACTAAGTTTACCATCCGTAACCATTTAAAAGTGTCATAACTACACGCGTCTCCCATAGTTTTTTTTTTGCTATACCTGCAATATAATTTAAAAATAAGGGAAATTAAATAAGAGGAATTAGAGGAATTGGCACCGAATATCCACGGTATGTTTTTTGGGGGGCCCAAAGGAACCAAAACATGTATCTTTTCAATCAAATCCAGAACGTATCTTTTGGGAGGCCCAAAAGTGGCAACATTTGCCTGTCTCTTATAGTAGGGCAGATAAATGCTAACAATTGCCTGAATTGTTCAGATGATGATACAAGCATGAAAAAACCCTCTGATAAGGGTACCGTTTTATATAAACATGCTGGCAACCTAGAAATATTAATATGGACGCCGTTTTCCAAGATGGCGGCACATATTATTATTAACTTAGTGGTAACTGATAAGTATCTTTCAAATGATGATACTACCAAACTGTTTTCCAAGAAATCAGTTTTATATATTTATCAGTGTTCACTAGCTTACTCTAAGTATTTTATTATGGACGCTATTGCGGAGCATCGTAGCTGTTTGCTAGTCATGGTGTGGCCCTACACAGCCTTGGCTTCCTATTATGACCTACTTTTTAAAAAAGTTTGTTCATTTGCGTACTATTACAACTGTACTAATTGAAATGGTCGTAAGTGCACGTAGAAATACCAGTCTAATGTTAGGTCGCAATCTATTTCATATTTTATACTTCATTTGGTATTCATCCCATTTCGTACAACCCTAAGGCAAGTTTGCCCTTATTAAAAATAAAATATTTTCATAAATACATTTTTTATGACCTAAAGCGTAGACGAATATTAAGATGGTCGTACGTCAACCTTATTTAATTGAGCTTAATTCAAATTCATCCGCCCCGAACGCTTTCAAGCGAGTCATTAACTAGAGTAACAAAAATTCAATTACGGCGTACACGTAGATGCACTAAATATCTGACTTGAAAGTAAATCAAATTAATTTTCCAGAACAACCCGCATAATAGCTTCAAGAGCATACCTGAAGGACTATGGTGGGCGATAGTAACGATGACAACGGTCGGATACGGTGACATGGCCCCGAAAACTTATGCGGGAATGTTTGTTGGGGCATTGTGCGCCCTTGCCGGTGTCCTTACAATCGCACTTCCGGTTCCTGTGATAGTTTCAAATTTTTCTATGTTTTACTCACATACTCAGGTAAGCAGTCATTAGCTAGACGCTCTGATTCAAACGTACACTTCTAGGCTAGATCTAAACTGCCAAAGAAACGTAGGAGGGTACTGCCGGTAGAGCAAATCAGAAGGAAAAAGGTAGACGCGTGTGCAAATAGAAGGATGAATGCTATTAAACACCACCACCCTGCAATTTTCAAAGATGCCTTCGGGAACGCGAAAATTGGTAAGTAGACTGCTTGTAGCTTCCCAACTAGAACTAAATCTTGAATATAGTGAACAGAAGTTGGGTTTCAAAACACAGTCGTAAAACGTCAACCCACGTTCAAAGTTCTCCTTCAACTTTCCGAGACATAATTAAATTGTGTAGTAACAACTTAAGTTTAAACCGTCGTAATCCCTTAAACGTATGAAACAAAAATTGGTAGAGATAGAGCATAAGTAGCTTATTTACGTCTGGATCTGGATTACGCTTTAATCGATATCGGATTATCTAGACGTTAGTAACTCGTACGGTAGTTCTCGGAACCTGCGCTGCAGGGTGCTGTTACGACAAAATCGATAGCGTGGAAGTTATTTTAACCCACGCGCAACAGATGTCGCATAATGATTTATATTTTCACACTTACAAAGTTTACTGTAACTTTTTCTTGCAGGTAACGCCAATGGAGTGAACGTAATCGGTCTAGCTCTGCAGGGACCTTCAATGCCCAGCATTGCAGTTTTACATCACAGCGGTCCCTACAACGCCTCATCACGATCAGGTAACACGAGCCTGAAATTTACTGTAATGCATTTGCCGTTCTGCAGGCGATGGCGAGATAAAGTCCAAACCGGGAGGTCTGGACGTTTTGCCGCTACAACCCCGCTTCCTTCCTCAGCTGTGCATGGAAACGTCCTCGCGCGAGACGAAGTCCGAGCCACGCGACTCGATCGGAAAGTCGCTAATCGAGACGCCCGAAATCGGAATAACAAGCGCATCGGCGCTCGCCATCGGCAGCTCGACGGAGGTGCTGGTTAGCATTCTCGAGAATCAAGCCGGATTTCGACGAAATTCGTTTTTGAGCGTCAACTCGCAAAGTCCAATCTCGTTAAAGCAGCGACCGAGCCCGATCAAGAATTTAAAGGAGGTGATTAAGGAAACCGAACTGAACGACGGCAGCGGTGATGATAACGATGGGAAATCGCCCGACTTCGAACTTATTAAAAGTCCCAGCACCGAATTAACGGATCCTTCCGACCAAACTACCCCAACCGAAACTTCCAAAGGTTTAAGTTGTCACAGTTTTGGTAGCGTCACGTATTTGTAATCGCGCTAGTCAATTTTAAATCGATCAATTTCACCACGTCAATTTTTATGCGCAACCTTTGTTATTATAATTTCCATTAATTTGTCCCTTATGTGCAGTTTGAGCTTTTAAGGATATCTGATTCATAGATTTTTGCAGTGACATATTTTTAGATGAATGTGTCCTTCTGTTTGTGCTAGCTTTAATTAAAATTCAAGATTGTAGTAGATATAAGCGTACTTTGGAAGTTACTAGGGAAGGTCTATTTTGGTAGTGTTACAATGAAATTGCAAGATTCTTTGGGTACGTTAGGGGACGGACTGAATCCCTAAAATAAATTTTTTTAACATTACATCGCGACTTACTACCCCAGCCTTAATTGTGGCAAATTGAAGCCGGTGTCTGTTTAGTGGACATCAAGTAATCAAGTACATTAAGTTCATGATGAAATCTGTTAATTTACTTAACTTTCAGCCCTATGGTTAAACCGTAGGCACTTGACCATTATGATTACCGAATGTAGGCACCCATTAAAAATTACATTTAAATCAAAACACTATAATAAAACGAGGCGTTAATATATCTAGAAGGTGAGCAAAAATTGGTACTATAAGCTCACTGCATATTAATATATTTTTGTAATAATGTAAATTTATGATCAAATAAAAGGATTTTAAGACTTCTATATTATTCGCATTTTGAAATTTAACAGCCAAAAAATTGATTCTTACCTTATCCTTAAGCTTTTAGGTTAATTTCTATTTAAGATCTACGATTTTCGACAAAGGTGATTCTCCATGATTCGATTTTGGGTTTGTTAGTAGCTAAATATCCATAACGTGTACTTGGATATGGGTTTTTTTTTTAATTTGAACTCATTTGGCCACTAGTGCGCTACTTCATCGAGAAGTTTCAAGAAGATTGTAAGTATACACCATAAATACACAGGATAAAATTGTAGACGAAGATGACCGCAGAGCACCAATGGAGGCGAAGGTTAATTAAAAATAAGAGAGTCGCAGAATTAATGAAAATTGCAAACACAGTTCAAGGAAGAGATCTAAAACCGATCAAAACTCATTGCAAATTTTAAGTATGTCACAAATGAGTTGCATATTAGCGGGCCCGTGTGGCGCAGTTGAGTTGAAACTTGATTGCTACTAAGGCTCCCTGGTTCGAATTCAGGTTCGGGCATGGATTTGTAAATGTAGGTATAGTGGATTGGGTTGGTTGCTCCAAAATAAAGGTCAGAAATAAATAAATTAATAAGTGTAAATACAATTTAGTTCAAAGCTTCTTGGAATTACTTTATGAGTATTGGAAACTACTACATCTTTAAAGGATTGACTCTAAAAAACATTTAAAGACCCCTTAAAAGGTCTTTTAAATATTCTAAAGCATTTAGAAGCTCCTGGAGTGTTTTTTAAACTACCTTAGGCATTTAAGGTGACCCGTAAATGTCCTCCATGTTTACTCCCCAAATTAAAAACGCTCGATATGTGTCCCATTTGTCATACGACACATATCCAAACGGTAATCTGGCTCAGACCACAAATTTTGTAACATTTTCATGTCTATTGTTACCAGAGCGCCAATGATGCGTCTCCTAGGTTTGTTAAGCATTCTTGTCTGTGGGGGTACATAAACAGGGTACTGAAGATACCCCTAAAGACAGAAGTCATTAAATGACAAACTTCCACATCACTGGACCTGGCGTACCAGTGCAAACGACTCAGATTTGTTCGCATGGCCCTCTCAATCTCCCGATCTAACGCCGCCTTATTATATGTGTCCTACCTTTGAGAGTATGTTAAAAATCATGTTTATCCCACTGCCAAGAACACATAGCGATCTTACGAGACGCATCGGTGCAGAGGAATCTGAAATGCTTTAACAACTTGAAGATAAGCTAGGATCTATAAGAATCAATAAAAGTTTTTGAAAAGCACTTAAAAGCCCTTAAAAGCTTTGGAAAAAATTATGAAAACGTATTAGTGACCTTTATTGGTATTTAAAGGCTTTTAAGGCCTCTAAAATGCTTTCTTGGAGATACTAAAAATCTCCAAAAGATTCTATAAAACTTCGAAGCCGGCAAAATGTCCTAGAAAGCTCTTGTAGACTCTCTGGCACCATTGTTAACGTTTATCGAAAAAACGAGGGCGATATTTTGCATAAGTACAAGATGCGGAATGCATCTGAATGCATTTCTGTTTAAGAAGGCTGTGTATGAGAGACATGAGGCATGAAGGTTTTAATATTCTGACTCAGATCCCACAATTATATTGCATGGCCCTGTAAGGGAAACACTTTAATTAACTTTTTTGAATTAAAAATTTTAAGCTTAGTAATCTGTGTACTTTTAAAAGATCTTCTAACATTCCAAATGTAAATTTTAAAAAACACAGAGACACAGAAGGGGATTAACGGTATTCAAAAAAATCTCAGATATTTCAAATGAATTTAAAAATATACTTTTAAAGACATTTACAGGCACAAAGATGTTTCAAGAAGAATCCAATAGGGTTCCAAAACGTTGTGGAATATCAGTGATGGAGTCAAAAACCCTGCCCGGTAAATAAATATTGAGGTAGACTTTTTTTATCTCTGTAATGGTATGAGAAAATAAACTTTTGCTGTTTTATTCTTTATCGTGATTGTTATCATACAATAAAGCGTGTCTACGAAATAGGGCAACCGTACGGAGGAGTCATACCTGCAAGGGTGGAGCAGAGACGCAAAGTAGCAGCACAAACCTAGGCGAAGAGGAATAAAAGACATTCCAAGGTTGCACTAAGTAATTCAAACTGGGAACAAGGGTGTCTAAAATGCAATTAATTAACATTGTTTTCGCTCCACTGCCGAAAAGGGAGAAGCGTTCCAGTGTAGGGAGGTTTTGGCGGGGCGGTAGCCAGAGGGAGGTAAGAGTGGGCAAATCCCGCTCTTGGGACCCACCTTGCCCGCTCTTGAAAATTGCTCAATATGACACAATATCAAAAATGATCAAATATTTTTTAAAAAATTCAACAAAAGAAGATATAGAAAACTTTAACCACTTTAAATTTAAATGGGAAGTTAAGCATAATGGTGATTCATTTTACCTTTCAAAGTTTCTTGTAGCTCTAGAAATACCCAAGTTATGGCAAAAAAACCAGGAAAATATCGTTTTCGGGGATACGCTAACGTTCATGTTTTCAAAAATAAATTAAAGAAATTTTTAACAAATGCCTTTCTTAGCTTTCTAATGTTCTAAAACAACATTTTTATGACTTATTGGGGTTAGCACCATCAGAAAACTAAAAATAAATCACTAAGGGCTTGTTAAAATCGTAGTACCGGTATAAGGGAGGTGACCTTCAACTTTTATGCCAGCAATCTGCGTTTTGGGTCCCGGTAACCCGATTTCAATGATCATCAGTTCGCCTGCCTACGCACTTATTTTCTGCCGAACCACTAAACCGAAGGCACACCGTTCCTAGGCGTAAGATGAAAAACTGAAAGACTTTCGAAAATGTGCTTATTATTTTTATTTATTAAATCAAATTATGCTTCCAAATTATGGGACCTGAGCTTTATAAGGACAAGTAAATCAAAACCACTACTACTACGAGGTTATTTCCAACGCAACTTACTCACATATGCAGACGGACAGACTACCTACTCTTAAAGTCGATACAATACATGTATCATTTCTTTGGCATCGAGCAAAAGAGTTTGGTCTTTTTCCCAAGAAAATTTAGAGAATTTAGATCGATTTTTGTGATGGGTACCAAAATTAATTCTTGATAGTTGCACATCTGGAACCCATAATCTTTCATATAGCGAAAACCCGATGTCGATACGAGGCCTTAGGGATTGAGATATAGCGCAGAACGATAGGCAGACGGGCGGAAATGTAAAGTTCCACTTTCGTGGGTTGCGCTAAGAACAAATTTCTTCAGCTGGACATAGCAAATTATTAATATTTCGCATGCCCGCTCTTAGAGACTATGTTTCTCGATTTCTTTAAAAATGAAGATTTTTGCTGCACTTTGCTATGGTATTGGCGCTGAACATAAACCTTTGCTTTTCCTAAGAAGCGAAATGGCGATTCTTTCAGGGAACGTTGGGAAGTATTCTATGAAGTTTTATTTAAAGAAATGCTGTTACATTTACAGGGTAAATTTCATGAAACAGGGTTAGATGTCGGTGATGGACCATGAAGGTTTGGGTTGGAGTTTAGGTAGGAGAAGAACAAGTGAAAAGGTAAATAAATGGAACTACACAACCGGAAGAAAGCCATGAACTGATGGACGATGCCTTCTTTGTGGAGTAGACCATCACAACGGGATTGGGGGAGGTGGGTGCAAGCCCCACACTTCCCTTACACCAAGCTTTAACGGAAGGGTGCGAAAGGCCAATTCCCGTAGAATAAAAAAACATGAAGAAAAGGGGGGCATGCTTAACGAACTCAAGAAATTAACACGTGCTCCATATCCAAGTTAGTGACGGAGTGCCGTTCACTTTCTAGGGAGTTGTAGCGGGGGCTCTCTAGCGTTTTATATTTTTTCGATTTTAGACTTTTTTAAAATAAATTTTGAGGGTTAGTTTCTACAATTATTCGTGGGTGTCAATATTCCAAAAAGTTAGTAATTCTTAATCAGAATGGCGATCCGTTTTTTTACCGGTCACTGGTGACCCGTTAATAGATCAGGAAAATTACTGGCATCAGTCTGTAGAGCGTTAGCAAGTGACAAACTATCTTAAATGGGTCTACGTGGCTTAAACCGCCCGGTCAGGATTACTCAGAGCGGTATGCGGATCCCGCTAAATTTCCAATATTAAAAGACTGGTGTTTTGATATTGCGATTCGGGCGCTTTCTATCAAGAATAAAGATGGCCGATTTAATTACTTAGGGCTATTTTGGGGGCGGTTTGGTAAATTTAAAAGATGAATAGGGAGTAATGCGGGCGATGGAGTCTGAGGCATTCGCTTTGAGGCCAGCATAGAGCTCTGGTTGATAATATTCGGTTTTGAACCGTCCGAAATAAAAATGTGTATCAGCCTTTAAGCGTTATCTTTGTATTAAAACATTACGCCTTATTTGTGACAATAGATACTAGTCAGTCCAAAGGCGCCGTTATACAACTATTTCTGAAAAGCATCTTGAAATGGCTTTAAAATGATGTATTTTTAGATCCTAAGGAATTTTTTTGTGTTGAACAAAGTGATGTGATAGGGTGCTTAATCCAGGTCCGAATAATGACTTTGAGACCCTGCAGTTACCATGAAATGATTTTCCCTGAGGTAAGTTGCTTTGATTTAAAAGCCTTCTTCAACCATTCATTGGTGCTTTCACAAACCTGGCCATTAGTCCTTGTATCTTTTTAACGCTCCCAGTTTCTGATCCAGCGTGAAAATCAGGAAAAAAAAATGTACCTCTAGATACTCCAGATTCTTTTGCAAGCACTGGGCTTTCGATTTCCTTTCCTTAACCTCGCCTACATGGAAATAGCACAATTCCCACTGGAGGTACTGCAAATTACATTTCATTTTAATTACTGGAGCTATGCAAAAAATCGATCATTCCGGGATTTTTGAAGAGGCATTCGCTCCTGGGTTACCAGAGCAAACAATACGTTTAGTCGTTCTCAAAAATATTCGGGAATGAAAAAAACCAAGTGGTTTTGCGAGTATTTTCATCGG